TCTGGAGGTTAACTATGGATTAATTAATATTCAATAACAACAGCAATTAAAACTGGAACCTCACTATGTGCCAGGCAATGCCTGATAGTGTCCCATGTAATTCTCACAACAACTTTGAAATAGGGGCTATGATTATCTCCATTTTTAAGATGAGAAACATTGAGGCATAAAGGTTAAAAATTTACCCAAGGCCACTATATTGGTCTGTTTCTGCTGCTTGTAATGGAATACTCAAAACTGGGTAATAAAAAAGAAACAAAATTTATTTCTTATAGTTTGGATGCTGGGAAGTCCAAACCCCAGGGAACAGACCTGGTGAGGGTCTTCTTGGTAGGAATTCTAGAGTCCCTTGCCAAGCAGGGTATTTCATGGTGAGAATGGGGTAAGGAAGAGTGAATTAACTTTCTCACTATCTCTCCCTATAAAGCCATCAGAACCACCCTCATTACTCCATGAATGGATTGATCAATTCACAAGGGCACTGTCCTAACAATCTAATCATCTCTTAAATGCCCCACCTTTCAATTATCATAAAGGATTCTCACCCTCTTAACACTGTTACAATGTAGATCAAATTTCCAATACATGAACTTCTGAGGGACACATTTAACCTTTAGCACAGTCACAAAGCCAGTAAATAAAGAAGTCAGGATTCCATCTGAGATATGTCTTATCCCAAAGTCTTCACTAGTTACTAAATTAGTAGAACTGGAAAACAAGTGTATCTGGGCAAAATAAACAAATCTACTGTGTTTCAAATAAAGTAATGTACATAAAATACAAATACTGGTATAATAAATATTTTAGCTGCTAAAAATCAAGCACCTTGAAGATTAAGCCATTTTGAAAATCTAGGTAGTTCAAAATACTAGAATCACATCATTAAAAATGTCAATAATTCAGCTGAACACCAATCAAATCACATTTGAGCCTTAGAAAATCCTAAGTCCGGGCTGACCCTGTGGCGCACTCGGGAGAGTTCAGCGCTGGGAGAGCAGTGACGCTCCTGCTGCGGGTTCGGATCCTATATAGGAATGGCCGGTGTGCTCACTGGCTGAGCACAGTGCGGACGACACCACACCAAGGGTTGCGATCCCTTTACCGGTCACGAAAAAGACAAAAAAAAAAGAAAAAGAAAAAAATCCTAAGTCCAATAGAAATCTGAAATGTCAAAAACTTAAAATAAATATTTTAAAAATAAATTCTTATCTCCCAAAAAGAACAATTGTGAATGTCAGAATATGCTTACTACCATACTGCCAGGCCAACAGAAGAGCTGGAGTAAGAAAATTTGTTATAGACTATATAAAGCAAGCAACAAAAAAAAGTATGGTTCCCTCACAAGGTTAAAACATCAATGCAACTATATGTACTAAGAAAAAGCCTCTGTGCTTCAGTTTTCTAAGGCTTGCAAAATTAGGATAAAATTTTCTCATGCACATACCTCCAAGGTTTTAACACTATCTGAAACACAAAACAATTTTGCAAATGGGAAGTGCTAAAGTAAGGGTCAAAAACTCAAATGCCTAAATAAAATATAAAAGTCACCCAGTTACAGAGTACAGCAAAATGGTGAGTCTTGCCCCATCAACAGCCCTAATTCCAATACAGGTTAGAGTTGCCCTTCGAGAAAAGCCAGAAATTTTGAATTTGCATTTGTATATTACATCTTTTGATTTTTGTGGTAGTCAACTTATTCAATTAAAACTCACACCCAGAAATTAAGAACACAAAATTATACCATAACTTTTTGTCACCAAAATGCCTACAATTATAAATATGAATGGTTAATACCAAGGTTTGGGGAGAATGTTGAGCAAATGAAACTCACGCACACTTCTGGAGGGAGTATAAATGTGGTACAATCATTTCAGAAAACTGTTTGACAACATTTACTAAAGCTGAACATATGCACACCCTATTATGCAATTTAACTCCTAGGTGATTCAACAAAAATGTGTAGACATGCTTATCAAATGTGTAGGTAGACTTGCTCACCAAAAAACACGTATGAGAATTCTTATTAGACAAAAATGAAAAATAATCCAAATGTTAACCAACAGTAAAATAAGAAAATAAAATGTGATATATTCACACGATGTTACACTAAACAGAAATGAGATTAAAGAGACTATTCCTGTACCACAACAATGGATATGACAAACACATGCTGAAAGAAAGAAGCTCACAAAATAATACATAGTATATGATTCCACTGCTATAAAGTTCAAAAAGTACAAAATTAGTCTGTAGTGTTAGAAATCAGTATAGTAGTGGGCCGGCCGTGTGGCTCACTGGCTGAGTGTGGCGCTGACAACACCAAGACAAGGGTTAAGATCCCCTTACCGGTCATCTTTAAAAAAAAAAAAAAGAAAAGAAATCAGTATAGTAGTTACCTTTGGGAAAGGGCAGTGACTGGCAGGAGGCAAGAGCAGGACTTCTGGGGCTACTGATTATGTTCTTTTATTTCTTGATCTGAGTGCTGGTTATATGGTATATGTTCTCTTGTGAAAATTCCAAGAACTTATGATTTGTACACTTTTCTCTAAGTAAGTTATACTTCAATAAAAAGTTTAAAAACACATATACATGCACATACAAGATACCATGGATTCTGCAAGCACAGCCAACTTATCAGAGCAGATCACCTTAAGACCTCTCAGTTTAAGAACTACTGTACATTCTTACATTTAAAGAGCAAAGAAAAAAATAAAAACAAAATAAAGTTGTCTTAGTGATGCCACAAGATCGGGTCAGCAACTAACAAAATTTAAATTTCTCCTCTTAGAATGTGTTGTCTATTTTAATTGCCTCAGGCATTTAATTAACAGATCAAGCCTGTCTCAAAAGGTACAGAATAAGATTACAGCAAAAGGTAGAAAGCAGACTAAAAATTAAACAATTAAGTGTAAAAATTCAAAGCAGCCATTAAATCACAAACACAACCCTCTTCCCTGATTCCTGAGCAACTTTACTGCCAATTACTAACAAGAAGCAATTTTATTTCATCCATAAGGATCACGACCTAGGTATTACAGAGAAATACCATGAGGCCTACCAAGAGAAAAGAGGAGTCTTAAGGCTCCAGCCAGTCAAGTTAAATCAAACATCACAGAATCCAAATACATAAATCAGCTATTTAATCACATAACTGTTAGATGAGTCAGTATTAATTTTAAAATACCTTTTTAGTATTAACTGCCTGTTCTCTCAGGACCCTGTATCTCCATTATTTTCCTTTCCTAAGATATTGAATGGTTCCACCTTTGAGCCACTGCTAAAATTTTTCCTCCACCTCTGGTGCTTACCTTCACCTCCCATCTTCACCTATTTCTATCCTGTGATATCTTTCATGTCCCAACTCTATTACCTATTATGTGTTACAAAATCCTAGAAAGATCACATACAAGTCAAATGCCAGCATTTTTAAAAGTGCCTCTTTCTGGGCCGAGCCCGTGGCGCACTCGGGAGAGTGCGGCGCTGGGAGCACAGCAGCGCTCCCGCCGCGGGTTCGGATCCTATATAGGGATGGCTGCTGCGCTCACTGGCTGAGCACGGTGCGGCCGGTCTCAAAAAAAAAAAGTGCCTCTTTCTGTAACAAAACCTCTTCAGTAATCAAGAGTTATTATTAAACTATTGAGCCACAACTCACCCATACAGCAGAAGTTTACCTTGAAAATGCAAAGTTGCTCAAAAGTGATAAAATTCCACCAACAAAGTAACCATATTTTACAAAACATCTGAAGTTACAAATTAATTTTCTTAGCATATCAGCCTCACCAAATATATCTGCATTAACATCAAAGAAACATACGATCTCAAAAACAAAACAAAATAAAAAACCACAAAAAGATATTTATTATAGAATCCTCACTGAGCAAATAAGTGCTAAAACCTCACATCAAGTCAGTTACAGTGTTAAAAAAAGACAAAAATGTTTTCACATCCAAGTTAAACTGCCTATTAAATTATTTTAAGATCTAAAAATTGTTCAGAATTCCCAAGAAAGTAGGACTCCCATTTAGTTTTAAAATGCTCGACACAGTAAGCAGCAAAAGAGGAAAATCAGGAATCTGCTCTACTCTTAAAAGGAGTATTTCGTAAAATAGACTATACTTACACTTATCATTGTAAACTCCACTCATTAAAAACTAAGAAGTTGCAATTCAAGAGATTAACAAATGACAAAGTAAAAAATATAAACAGCCGAAGTATCCGCACCTAAGTGTTCAGTCGCACACAAATGTACGCTGCACACGACACGCATTCAAGGCACAATGCGAAGAGCTTGCTTGACACAAAGTTGTAGAACACAGGATCCCCAATGACACCCACCAGACGTCTTCTATCTTTTAGGAAAATTATGTTGAAATGAAAACCTTGTGAAATTCCTACTGTAAACACTGATTAAACCTGAGCACACTATAAAAGCTGCGGTCCGCTCCCTCCTAATCCTTAGAAAGCATTTCCGGCCTGGAAAACCTTTCTCCCGCAAGCCTTCTACAAACTTTTTCCGTTCTTTCAACCTACTCCAGGGAGCCTTCAGCCCGCCCCTCACCTCCCGCCCGCTACCAACACACACACTAGGGAACCTCAACACTCGGCAGACACCACTCCACACGGGCACGCAAAACCCATGTGCCTGCAAACCCAGCCCCTTTCCACACCCCCGGAAACGACACCCCCTTCCTCACACTCCGCACGCCGCAGCCCATCCCCCTTCCTCCCCGCCCCCACTCACCTCACCCCAGTCCACCCACCCACATTCCCGGGAACCCAGCCTCCCCTAGCTCCGGGGCTCGCCGAAGACAGTGGGGAGGGGAAGCAGGAAGAAGGAAGAAGGGCTCGGGCCTGGCGTAGGCCTCTCAGGCCGCCTAGAGAGATGAGGCGGGGAGCCCACGGGCCGGGCTCGGTTCCCGTCAGCAACCTGGCCTGATCCGGCCCCAGGCCTCCCCTCCGCCGCGGCCCCGAGACGGCCCTCCCGCCCGGACCACACTTACTTGCCAGCCGTGGCCCATCGAGTCCGCCGCTGCTGCCTCCTCCGCCGGCTGCAGCTCCTGCCCCCGGGCCCCCCAGGTCCGGCTTCTTGGGCCCCGGGGGTGGCCCAGCTCCCCCGCCCGGGACAGCTCCGGGCGGAAAGCCGGCCACGGGCGCGCCCGCAAGAGCCAGGGGGACGCTGTTGCTATGGAGGCCGAGGCCCGGGGCAGCCCCGGCGGCCGGGTCCTCATGCAGGAACTGACACTCCTCCCCGTAGAAGCAAGTCTTATCCTTAGCGTAGTAGCGGCAATACTTTAGCTTCACTCCCGCAGCCGCCCCGCCGGGGACACCTCCGATCCCCGGCGGGGCCACCACCGCCACCGCCCCCGCCAACGAGGAGGAGGAAGAGGAGGCGG